TAAACAATCCATGTTCATAAAGATTACCATTTTTCATTAGAAAATATATCAACGTATTTGCCCTTCGAAATTCAAATGCTCCTTTAGAAATAATTAAACAAAAATGAAAAATAATACTCCTACGAAACCCGTTGGTGTCAATTAGTTGTGCACGGTGCTTTCGGACTGATCGGTTTCATGTTACGTCAATTTCAGCTTGCTCGATCTCGACTCGAGAAATAGAAAGAAACTAAAAAGATAACAATGATTAAAGAAGCTAAATGCTGCATTCAACTAAAAAGAGGTCTCAAATTAAAATAAAACGATTTACAAATTTCACGACATGTACAGGCGATGTGGGCCAGCCCAGTTTCTAGACCCGACAAACACAGCCCCAACAGGAGGTCGCCGAATAAACACAGTTGGCACAACATTGAATGTGTAACGGACTGGCTCGTTAGGCGTGTGCACAAATGGCTTCCAATCATTATCACTCTCATCATTGCTTGACTGGCCAGTGAGCGAGTTAGTAATGGAGAACTTAAAGCCTCTGTTGATCATAAGCCCAACCAGTCGGGCCGTGTTCTTGGCATCATCCAGCCCACAATGGGCCCGGCCTTCCCAGGTGAGCCCAGCCCTCTCGACTGCTTGTTTCAAATTGCATCTTTCTTTGCCAAAGACCTCACCAAAAGGGACTTTCAGATTTATCCATCTGCTCAAAAACAGAGTAGTCAAATGGGTCAAATGCAATTCTGACTGATGTCTGTCTATTGTCTGCATATGATTCACTTTATCTAAAAATTAGAGTTAATGTATGTTTTCTTTTTAAAAGAGATGAAAAAGAACAGAAATAAAGAAAAATCTTTGACTACCTATTGAAGTAGGGTGGCTTCTGGATATGTTTGTACCGGCATTCGGATTCCAACAGGACTTCACAATCCCAGTCGGACCAAGTCACGACAGCAAACTTTGTTGTTTTGAGTCCAATCTTTTCGAGCCATTGGTCGTGACTAACAATTGCCTCGCTCAATGTAATTCCCTTGTCCACCTGCAGATTAGACATCAACAACAGATAAAGCGTCAATTCATCCAGCAACTTTGAACAAACAAAACACAAGTTCTAAAGATATAGAGACATTATTGGAGCTTGTCCTGATTGATCATTTCCGAACATCCTATTGCACATAGTACACTATACAATATCTTACTTTATTTACCTTCTTCCCTACACAATTGACCTCCCATTCAATTTTACTTCTAACAAAATTTTCATTTTTTTCATCAAAATCTTCACCAAGCCACTAGAAATCAGTTTCAAGCTTCAACTTGTAGCAAAAGATTCAAACTTGAAAGTTGACCATTTACAGAAAACACACTCAGGTCAAATATAGAGGTCATACAACATAAACAACTTCATAGACATGCATAAAAAACAAATCCCTAAGAAAAGAAAATCCTGAATAAACTAGATGGATAGAAACCTGAGTTTGCTGTATGCCAGTCAACTCTTTGCAGAAATCAGTCAAGACTCGGTTGCACGTGGGCCGCACGTACGTCTGGAAACTAGCCACTATCTGTCCAGTAGAGCTGCTGATTACAACAGACGGGAACTCAATGATCTCTTGTGGAAAAGGAGGTTTTCCTCTGTCACATGTGGCCTCAAAGTCGATCACAACAAAATAATCGAAGTCTTGATAGCGGTAATCGAAATTTTGATAGCCATAACTATACGGGTAAATTGTCTGGTGAAACGTGTTTAATCTGCTGTAAATTGGAAACGAGCGATTGAAACACACAGTTGGTTGGCACCGCTGAGAGTTATTGTAATCCGGACAATACAATGGCTTCGGCATATAGTCTGAGACATAAAAGAATGCGGTTCACGTTAATAACGACATTAATCGGCAAAACCTTTCAACAGAGTCTGCAGAAAGTTAGACTCTTTCAAGTAATCAGCCAAAAATATAGTGCGCTTTCTTTAAGTTTCAACTATGTACACTAATACATGACAAACAAATTCCGGCATATAAGTTCATCGCAACAATTACAAACCCCCTTAAAATTCAAAGGAACCCAACAAAATTGCAGTCGCGTAAATCAGAAGGAAACAAACAAACAAACAAAGCAATTGGATTGAGCGAGAAACTAATCAATCACCTTTTCGCACCAGAGGGGTCTCCAAAGAAATAACCATGGCTGGCCTCTTCAAGGTTCTTGATCGTTGTTGGAAGTATAAGGCAAGGCGGTATAAATAAACTAAAAGTTACCCAAGATTTTCCATGTATAGCATAGCATACCTGAGTCGAGGTGGAGTAGGAATGAAAATATGATTTTTTTTCCCTAAATTTACAATATAAATTAATTATTTTGTTATAAATATAACGCTTGTATATATATTTTTTATTTTCTACCTATAAGTGGCCCGTCCGATACACGGTGAAAAAAATATTACGATGGTATTATAATTTAAATATATAAATGACAATAATAATGATTCACTCACTGTTTTCAAATCGGATCGGACTGAATAGTCCGACTGAGTGGACCGCGAACCGATTTATCGATCATCCGATTACCTTGAATAAAATGTTTGTTTGTGTACCGACACCAGTCGCTCGAACTAATAGGATTTGTATAATTTTTAATAAATATCAAAAATTTAAAATTATTTTTAACATGAATAAAAAATACATATTTAAACAAAATGAATACTAATTAATATTAATAAATTAAATCCTAGTCCAACCAATAATATATTGCACAAATAACCTGTTCGGTTCGATGATGGTTCGGTTCTGTGAAACATTGATTTACCATACATTAATATAAGTTGTAATTTAATATCATTTAGTTTACATAAATATTAATAAAATGATATATTTATATTCATAAATCATGGAACATGTTTTCATAAAATTAAATACTAATAAAATAATATATAAATATTCATGTTTTCACAAAACTATTCTTGGAGCTTTGATTACATTACATTTATTGTAACATAATATTTTTTAATATTAAAATTTCTATTCAGTTTCAATAATAGATTTGGTCTGGCAAAACCGACCCGTGACCAAGGATCAACCTTAATTGTGCCTTGATTTTAGACTATTTAAAATATTACATAAAAGTAATTTAATCAACCTGTGCAGTAACCTATTTCAATCACATGATCCAAAGAAATTTCCATATCTTTCCTTAAATATATTAATTTATGAAATAGTTCATGTAACAAGTGTTTATAATAAATGAAAATATATTAAGATAGTAGATTATACATTTAAAGATAAATGAATTATTTCTTATTTTATGCATATTTATAAGACTTATGCTTTTAAGGAAATATTATTTCTACAAAACTAAAAAAAATCTATAGAATTTTGTTTTTAGTAGCAAAGTGATTAGTGAAAAACTACACATACTATTTTTAGTAAACACACGCGCGCACACACACAGACATATATGTATACTATTGGCAAAAAGAATAATGTGAATTGTGTGGATATGTGATGATCNCCAAAACGATAGGTAATATTATAAATCAAAATGCACAAATATGCGAACACATAACCCCTAGCTGAATGGAACAACCAACAGCTGAAAAAGTGGGAGGACAGGTCAGAAGACCGCCTAGAATCCCGAAACTAGCACAGCTAGAAAAACAACACTCGCAACTACACAAACAAAACAGAAACTCCTAAAAGACCCCAACGGGATAATACCCCAGTGTCCAATCTCAACAAGATAATGAGTTGACACTCGGGCTCACAAGGGCTAACTGCCCAAACCAAAACACAAGACCTAAACAGCACAAACAGAAGAAAAAACACAAATAATTAACTAAAAACCCACATTCAAGCCCTTCCCCAGCTAATTAACGAGCCCGGCCTGCAGAGAACAATCGATCCAAGGAAGATCCCGAACCCAGGTAGTGCTATCGAAACTGCGAAACCGCATATACAAGCAGCCGAACCCGAGCCCCAAACCTAGCCCCAAAACGATCCGCCCCCAACCGAGAGAACGCAGACACCAACTCCCGCACCTTCACAACCCGAATTCATCTAACACCACTAGTCAAACTCGGTTGCTTCGGAATCCACCCGACCCTAACACCAGAAAACCGGGCAGAGAGAGAGAGCGGCGCGGTCCTACAACTCCGGCTGCTCCGACGAAAGACGCCACAACTGCCGAAGCCCCACCCCATCTGCTGACCCTCCGACCGGCCATTACCGCAGTCCGCCGGCAACCAAAACCAAAATCCCCATCAGAGCCCCACCGGGGAAGCGAAGCCGCCCTAGGGGAGCCCTCCAGTCAATGGCGGATCCAGGATGATTACATAATAGGGGTACCATATAATTAACACTGCGCCGTCGCCTCGCTTGTAGGTTTGATGTATCTTTTTTTTTTTAATATATGTATACATATATTGACGGAATGAGCCTGAGGCCACTAAATATATATATATATATATATATATATATTTATATATGTATCTTTTTCTTTAATATATGTATATATTGATTGATTGACGCTGTTGGCTGCTGCTAAATATATATATATATGCATCTTCTTCTATTTTTTTTTGGTATTAATGGGCCTCTAAATATTTTTGTTTTCTTTTAATAATTAAGTTTATGATTTTGGGTTGTTAGTTGTAGGTTGAATTGTTTTCTGTTTGGGCTGGGGGCATAATTTTGGGCCTAGAGGAATTTTACTCTTTTGGACTACCTAACTAATATAGGTTAGAGACATTTTTGTTGGGGGCCTGTGACCCCACTTAATTAATGTGGATCTGCCACTGCTTCCAGTCACGGCAATTTCGGATTTAGGGGCCAACCACCTCCAATCGAGACCCGCCAACAATCGACACCACCAATCGCTTGATCAATCGCCGACCAAGGAGCTCACCACCTTCAATCGCAATTTCGCCAGCGACCAAGGGTAGGGACAAACCATCTAGCTCGGTAGCTCCGATTCACCAAAACAACAGCAGACGACCGAGGAGACAGAGGGAAGGACGAGCGATCAAGGGCGACGGCAGGCGCCGCCGGCGAGGAAGGCAAAACGACACGAAAGAGGGAGCAGTCGGCGATAGGGTTGTGTTTCGCAAGAGAGAAGAGAGTTTGCAGGATAACGCTCAAGTTCATAAGTCATAGCTTTTTTGTGATGATAAAATTACATGATCATTAGCAGAATAAATGAGTTTTTTTTAAAATAGATTCTTGATGCCATCTCCACGCTTTATCTTTATTTTAGTGTAGAGTTTACTCTATTCTATAGTAGAATTAAACAAAAATCAAGTTTCATTTTCAACTATTTGCTCTACGTTTTACTCCATATAAAATATCTTTTTTATCTTCTTTATTTTAAATTATTTTAATATCAAAATAATTAAATTAAATTTATTATTTTACACACATTTATTTATTTAAATTATCATCATACAATTAATAAACAAAAAAATATAACAATATTTATAAATAAATTATTTTATTTGCTAAAACATATATCTAGTATTTACTAAAATATTAACTAAGTTTAAAGAAAAAAATCAATTTGTAATCTAAGTCGTAGATTAAATTATAGTTTTTGTTATTTGTTTGTACACACTTCGTCAAAATAGCATATTATTTTACCTAAAAAATAAAAGAAATGATACATTTCTAAAATTATATTATAAATTTACGTATTTTTTGAAAAACCAATTTGAATTAAATGGACCAGCAACTCACTTTTAATAATCTATATATATATATAATAAGAATTACCATTTTTTAAAAATGGCAAGTCAAATTTTGGTCAAACATTAATTACATACTATTTATAGAAAGTTTTTTTCTGTTTTTTTTGTTTCACTTCAAAACAGCCAGCATTAAATGGTGGCCTAAAAATGTGGCGTTTGTTAAGAGAGATCACTGTCTACATAAAAAAAAACTATTTAACCATACAAGATTATATTAACACTCCAATGCTAATTATGGTGTGGCATAGTGTAGATAAATATATTTTATTATCACTCCAATGCACAATATTTTATGAAGAAAGTTGAATTGAAAATATATAGATTTTTATTTTTTTTGGTAGTTACTTTGAGATTTGAATTGCACTTCAATTAAATTATGTATATTTTACTTGTAGTTACATCACATCCATTTCATATGATTTAATATTAATAGCATTGAAGATTTTTTTTTTTTAAACAAAGTTCATTTTGCTTGTGTGATATTGGACTTTCAAAAAATACATTAAAGATTTGGAATGAGAGGTGCAACAAGAGTTGAAGATTATTTCGATCATATGAATTTTATGTTTACGTTATTAAAAAAAATAATAATAAAAATATATATATATATATATAATTTATATTTACTTGAAATAGAAACTAAAATCTCGCTTAAAAAATATAAAATTATTAAACTTGGTAATATTTAAAAAAAAAATTAAAAAATACTGCCTCTAGAAATTAATTAATAAATTTATGGTATAAAATTGACAAAATTAATAAATTCGATTTTGGTATAAAGTGGACGATTTTATTTGATGTATGTGATGACCATTTTTATTTTTTGTAGCAAATGTGTTGTTATTAAGAAATGTATGAATTTATGATATAAAGTGGGCGAATTTTTTTTAGTATGAAATGTCTGAATTTTAATGGTATGATTTTTTTATTTTTTATTTTTTTGATAGGATAGAAGTGTATTTAGAAATTTTAAAAACAAAATAAGTGGTATGAATTTTACTTGGTATGGGTATGAAAGTAGAATTTTAGATTGATTTGTTATAAAATTAAGGTGATATGATTCTCAAATTTTAGCATATTCCCTTAATAACTTGCGATACAATATTGATGATAATTCGACAAATTGGTATGTATTACTCTTGAAAATCAAAAAGATCATTGAACAAGTATTGGTTAATAAAATTTAAAATTTGTAATTTAATTCTAGATAATTATTTTATAAATTTGAAAGATAAGGTAAACGACAACAAATCTAAAATATTGCTAGATATATATGTGTGTGTGTGTGTGTGAAATCTATAAGATTTTTTTTTTTGTGTAGTCCAAATTTGGATTCTAAATTTAAAAGTCAAATAAGTTAAAATTAACTTGGATGTAAATGACATAGTCAATTATTTATAATTTAATAAATTACTCAACTACTTAAATTTTTTGATTTGGATTGTTTATACAAAAATAATTTTATTTTAATAAGTGGAACAACTTAAGTTTTATAATTGTACTTACTATCACATCAATTTTTAAATATAAGATAAAATTTTACCAAAATAATTATTTTATTGAATAACATTGCAG